GGGTTTAGGGGTTCATGTAGACCCATGATTAATACCCCCCTCCTTTAAGGGCCTTAACATTAGGATCCCTATTATAATATCTATTAAGGGGAGGGGGTTTATTAATCATGGGTAGGGGTTAGTGCAGAAGAGCTTCTTTCTGGTTATGTAGTTTAGAAACAGGAAGGGAGCTTATTTGGACCTTGAAGCCGAAACCGTAGACCCTGAAGCCTACATAAACTCCAGACACTGCACTCTCGACCGTTAAGCCTAAGCCGCAAACCTTGAACCCTAGACCCTAAACCCCAAATCCTAAAACCTAAACCCGAAAGCTTAAACCCTAAATAGTAGTTCCCAATTTGTTTTCCGTTTTCCCTAAAAAGCCCCTAAATCACACCCCCAAACCCCTAATCCCTAAACCCTACACCCTGTAAAAAAAACCTTAAACCCTTGAACCTTAAACCCTTAAACCCTTAAACCCTAAACCCTGAAACCCTAAACCCTAAATCCTAAACCCTAAACCCTAAACCCTCAAACCCTCAAACCCCAAACCCCAAACCCTAAACCCTAAACCCTAAATCAAGACCCGCAAGCAGTATGCTAGAACTAAGAGGCCGTTGGGGTTGTAAAAAAAAACCCAAACCCTAAACCCTAAACCCTAAACCCCTAAACCCTAAACCCTAAAACCAAACACTGAAGTTTTGTTTGTCTTAGGCATGGCCTCGGTCAAATGGCTGCTCCTTGGAAGTGACCGGGGGCCATAGGTTTATACAGGGATATATAGGGATTTATGGGGTTTGAGAGGTTATATAGGGTTTTATGGGTTTATATAAGGCTTTATAGGGTTTTAGAGGCTGATATATGGTTATCTAGAGTTTTATAGGGTTTTCAGGGTTTTAGAGATTTATGTAGGGTTTTATAGGGTTATATATGATCATATAGGAGCTGTGATTTCAGCTAGCATGCTGTTCGCTTTGGTAGCATTTCTCTTCAAGTTTGTTTGTCACTAGTCATGTGAACTTGCATACGTAGTATCATTCTAAGTTCAGTGTGGGCGCGTGTGCTTGGTCTTGTGAGTCCAGAGTCAAGGGAGGGGTCTTCTAGGCGTGGCATCAAAATGCTGCAGTTGAGTGCTATAACTTAGGTGGACCCCCCACCCAGTAATAGTGACTATAAGGGATAATAGGGATTATATTAGGGTCATTTTATATTCCTAGAAAACCACTATTACAGGGTGGGGGGTCCTCCTAAGCTATAACCCTATAACCTTTACATAACCCTATATAACCCTATATAACCCTGTATAACCCTGGTCTAGGAACAAAGCGCCCAGGGCAACCATGCCAGAACAGGCGTCGCCAGCAAAGTTTCTGAGAAGGGAACAAATTCAACACTGGAGAACCAAAGGGGAAAGACATGAACTGCAAACAAACTGGGGTGTATATGTGGCTGTATAGTCGACAATGAGGGCAATGTTTACGGCTCTGTATATTCATCTTATGATTGTAACGAATGCTACACATGGCAGACAGCAAGTATGAGCTTCAATATATTGTTTAAGTGATGCTTATCCCATCAAGCCTTCCAAGGACAACCATCGAGGTCACAGAAGGCGGTTGGTGGGGCCATCAAATGGAGGCCAGCTGTAGGATGTTCCCGAATTCATTACGCGGACGGAGGGAATCGATTTCGGTTGAATATCGTCTGCGCAACACTAGTTTCCATTCATTTCACATTTGCTCTTCTATCTGATTCTCCAGTTTTATAGTAGCTCTCTTTTCGCATTCTCTTCTCCATCTGATTCTCCATTATTGCGCTAGTACTACCTAAGCTGAGCTAACCAATGCTCCGACCTTGGGACTCCTAGGATACCGAAACATCTGCATGACACTAAGTACCTAAAACTTTGGGGAGTTATGGTTTAGGGTTTAGTGTCGAAGGTTTAGGGTTTAGGGTAGCATACGAAGGTACCGCAGGATTTCTTAGTATCAGCAGTAGTACCGCAGCTACGGAGAAGCAAACAGCAAATCAGATGGACTAGAAGATCGCAACCGGGCTACGCAGGGTGTACATAGCTTTTAGGAATACTGGAGAATCAAACGGACAATCAGCTGGAAAATCACATGAAAACTAGGGTTATATAGCGGTTAGCCAAAATTGCGGACATTTGGTTTTTCTTGAACGCAGCAGGGAAGTGGGTATCCAGGATTTTTTTTCGGAGTCCTTCAGATGCGGATTATAGTTATGGGATCTTCACAGAGGAGAATTTTTTATGACACCCATATCGATCCAGCCCTTGCTCAACACTGCAAAGCTTAACCACCCTGAATGGTACAGTACATCCTCAGCCCCCGGAAGCCTAAACCCTCAAACTGTAGGGTTTAGGGTTTAGGGACCGTTGCAACTGCTGAAGCAACGAGCACTCACTTCTGCTCCTTCGCGCGCATGTCTAGGTCAGCCTTTGAATGTAACCGCAAACCAGTTTTTCTTTCAACCCAGGCCTGAGGGTTTAGGGTTTTAGGGTTTAGGGTTTAGGGTTTAGGGGCGAACCAGTTTTTCTTTCAACCCAGGCCTGAAGCTCGGAGTGCAACGGCCCAACAACCTGGTCCCAAGGGCTTGAAGTCCTGACTTCAAGCTCTCACAAAGAACCTTAAACTCTGAAAAACAAACCCTCAAAGCTTCAACCCTCGAATCTTAAACCCCCAACTGCTCAACCTGGTACTTGCGCAACCCGCGACCGCTGCGGCAGTGCATATCTGTTGAAAAGCTTGGCCGGAACATGTCCTGCACATGTCCTGAAGATTCTGGCATGCGTGATGCATGTTCTAGAAGCTCTGTCCAAAAGTATGACTTTTGTCACCGCATGCAAGTCCAAAGTGTAGCACATGTTAACAGGCGTGGTGAATTTAGACTCAAACTGGACATGTGCGCAGCAGTCAAAATCCTTTCGCCAGATGCGTCTGCAGCCATAAGTTTTGAGTGGCGCTGTAACAACGGCCCTGGCTTGCGGTGGGCTTTGGCAGCTCTTAATTGCGAAGAAGGCCAAACTGGTGGAGTGAAAATGGTTGACAGTTGCGCACATTCCCAGCTCCACTCTGAATTCACTCACCTGCCAACGTTTCTACACTTCGGATTTCAAAGCACTAAAGAGCTGACACGTGGACTTTGTCCAACATCCTGATGGCTGCCAAACGGATGCCTGTCTGACGAACGTCGCTTTCCATCGCGCGAACCGCTCTTGTAGACGTGTGTTCAACCTTTGCTGTCATGGCCAATGCCGCCAGCTTAAACTTGAAACCCTAAACCCTGAACTCAGGGCCTAGTTCCCACTTCGCAGGCCTATTCTTTCCGGCGCGCAGCCGAAGATCCGGGCCGAGTGCCCCTGACACAGCTGCCTGTGCGTGCCCTGATGTCACCCCCAGGCCCATGGCTACAGAGTTTGGGGTAGGGGCAAAGGTGTGGCTTATGACTTTCCAGATGGATCCACATTTCCTATATGCTTTGAGATTTCTTATCTTATTGTGGCATTTTGTGGCTGTAAGTCGTGTTTTTTTCGTGATTAACAATACTCGTGTGTGTGTGTGTGTGTGTGTAGATATATACCTCTATATACAGATATATACCTCTATATACATACTGTTGATGGAGGAAATCTTGCACCAGCTGAAGTCCCTAAAGTCTCAGGAATTACAGTAGTTTAGGGCCCCTAGTTTAGGGCTTTTAGGTGGTGCAAGATTTCATCCATCAACAGTATGTTCCATGTTTTTTTGTGTTGACCTTTGTTTGCGTTATTGTCACTCTCATTGGCATGTTTCGTGTGTTGCTTGCCATGATTGCTCTTTTCATTGTTAACGTTGCTTGTTTTGACCTGCTCCTGGAGATTCCAACGCAGTGGCCCTTCTGCCATTGATGCTTTGCCTGGATCCACTCAGGACTAATCTTCTCATCTGGGGCTAGGTGACTAGGATCCCGATCATCTGGCATACATCAGGCTCTGTTTTGAGACTTGCCGTGCTATCACCATACCCTCCCCTCCCCAGCCCTAAGCCCTAAACCTGAAACCCTAGACCCTGAACCGCGTACCACCGGCAGGCTACCCAGACTTCTTCTCGCGTGCACGAGTGGTCCCTCCTGGCGTGCATCGGGTTATTGGGAAGGCTGGCCAGGGACCTCTCCAGCAGTGCCCCACCGAAACCCTTAACGCCTACAAAGACTATACTTTAGGTGGACCCCCCCACCCTGTAATAGTGAGTATAAGGGATAATAAGGATTATAGTAGGGTCCCATCATATTCCTATGATACCACTAGAACAGGGGAGGGTCCTCCTAACAAAAACTGGGCTGCCCATTTACAACTGTTCTCTCCGATCCATCTACACAGGATGTTTATTGCCTGAGGCAGATTTTAAAGGGCATCCCACACGTGTGACAAACAGTCTTGCTCTGCTCCGTATCAGAGACGCTGAGCAGAAAGTTCCTCGGAACAGAAAGCCAGCTAGAATCAAAGCAATCATCGTCACGACGAACTTGACGCTTGCACCTTTGAAATCTGTGAGGTTGGGGAAGTTGCTTTGCTGCCATACAAGCAGGAAGCAGCCAAAACGACCGCCGTTGACCTATCCTGCTTTTGCGCAGCATCAGATCCACCGTTAAAGCTCGAACATGCGACTAAACTCAAAGCCCCGGGCTGAACAAGCCAACCATCCCGCGATCAATCGTCAATTCCCAGCCGCTAAGCCCTCAATGGGAGGTCTGGGCTGGGGCGGTAGAGATTGACCGAGTGGAGTTTTCTTCTGACCACGGCAAGACATGGAACAACGCCACCGTGGAGAGGACCCATGGGATGTTGGAAGTGGGATTTGTAGAGTTCTCAGGATGCAAGTTGAAGGACCTATGGCACAAGGTCTTGGTCTGTTGGGCTGAAAGCTGAAGGTTACACAACTTTTTGAAGGCAAGGCCGGGGCATAGGGTTTGCTACGAATGCTGGACGTCAAGCTCAACCCGTGACGAGCTGCTACCGAGGTTGTATAGTCCCCCCTAAGTAGATAGCACACGAGGTATATATGGGGATCTTATCATAATATACCCAAAGCGATGTTCTATCTACTTAAGGGGGACTATAGCCATGATAAGGCAGCCCGTTTACAAAGCTGCCCCAACCTTTGGGAATGGATTTCGAAGACCATGAAGACCTCGCCAGCTGCCCGCTCAAGAATATTAGGTGACCTAGTCCATAAAGCCTAAAGAGTAGTTTCCATTGAATTTTCCAGAATCACCCCTATCAGTTTGGGGAGTTGGCTAAAAGGCGTGAACCTGGGGATGAGAGCGTTAAGCTGAGTTCATAAACAACGAAACCTGGGCCAGAACTCGAAATAGACGGTATAGTCATAATACATATTATTACTATTACTATTACTATTGCTATCACTATTACTACTACTATTACTATTACTATTACTATTACTATTACTATTACTATTACTATTACTATCACTATTCGTACTATTATATCTAGTAGGCCGGAAGAAGGAACTCCTGTGCCACCCTAAGGCCTTCAATTTGCAAGGCAGGGACCCCATGGCCGATAAGGAAATCTTGTACCACTTGGGCTATAGTCTAAACTCCTTAAAGGGGAATTATATGGGGGATTATATAGGGGACTACTATAGGGGATATTAAGGGGGATACCAGGAGTTTAGGTCCCTTACCTACTTTTATCCCGAAAGCTTGAGGGGCTTTAGGTGGTGCAGGATTTTCTTCATCAACAGCAGCTGGTCCATGATTTCTTCCTTGAATCCAGAACGCTGTCTTTGTTCCAGACTAGGCTGCCTTTAGTAAGCAGCACAACTAAGAATCCCAATCTTCTGGGTTGCTGTTGGGAACTTAAGTTACCATAATATGGGTACATAGTAAGTCATTGGGTTTCCTCATTACGGTAACTTAATTTATAGTCAACAACATTTCAGTTCCGAAGCAGCAACCCAAGCTTAAGGACCCCAGGAGCCAAATCAGAATAGACTGGCAAACGCTCGCCCCCCAAAAGCGGACGCGAAACCCTTGATCAACGGCACATGCCCAGGGAGCCCAAAACCCTTGAATTTAGGAATATGAACTAAATGGTACTAGGGTCCCTAATATGAATTTAGCAGGATTCCTGAATCAAGGGGTATTGGGCTTCCTGGGTACCCCTACACTGGGCGTCGGACTTTCGATGCCAAGCCCTACGTAGTCCTTCAGGGGGCCCTGTAATTTTCTCATTTTCCAAAGCCCTCTAGGTACTGCATATCCCTTCCCAATTTTGCACGCTGCCAGAGGAAGACTGGCCTGTTTGGCTGGGCCACATGGCACTATGACCCTCGGCACTTCAGTGACAGTGGCCTTGTGTGGATTTTTTCTGACGTTCAAAGGATGCTGCTAGACTTCCTGTGGCTATGCTTCTCAGGGAATATTCCAAATATGGGGATCTCCCAAAACTAATAGGGGTACCTTTTTTGTCGGTCCCCATGATAACGATTGTAGTATTTGTGGGATTCTAGATTTGGTTCCCCCTATTTTGGGAAACCGCTGTACTATGAGGGTGCACCAAAGCTAGGCTGTGACATGCAAGTAGAGGAAACTGGAAACTCTATTCTATAGGGGTTATATGAGGGTCGTACAGGGTTATACGGGATATAGTTACATAGGGATATTAGCCCAATATTTCAGAATCGAATGGAAGAGAAAATGAAAACTGACATGGAAACTCGTGTTATACAGCTATTGTATGGGGATGGTTGGTAGTTTCACTAAATAGGGGGGGTTCAGTAGTCTTGGCTCATGCCAGCAGTAGCTTGAAGTCCCTTAAGATCCTAAGCCAGAATTGCAAGTCCTGCAATGCCATATCAATGTTGGATACGCGTTTATGCTGTTCAGGAGTACTGCGACATTATGTCCGGGAAGCAAACCACCTGAAATGAGTTTTGCTCTACACCCTGACGGCAAGAACTGCCTGCCGACCATGCCCAACCCAGTCACCTATTCTTAATACTAAAAATCCTGCATGACCCTAGTATACCATAGTACCATAATTCCCAAAATATAAGGTCCTTAGGGTCATGCAGGATTTTTGGTATCCACCGTAGGGTTTGGGGTTATCCGAAGCCCGAAACGCCACTGCTCTTGATCATGGTAAGGACTGGCAAGCCCCTGAAGAGGGGACCTTTGTGCTGAAGTGCCGTGGCTTCGATGCCAAGGGCCGGAGTCAGGACCTCAATGCTATCAGTACTACTGTGGATGGAGGAAATCTNNGGCATCTTCTATGACTTGACGATGCATCCCTGCACCCCCTTTTTAACATTGACAATTGTTCTGTCTGAGGCGGTGCAAGATTTCCGTCATTGGAACAAATTTGTTTCCGGAGGTTTTCAATGCCAATGTTAAGAAGGGGGTACGGGACTGTAAAAAATTTACGTTGTAAAAGCGGTGCAAGATTTCCTCCATCC